CTGATTTTGAGCTATTTCCAAATTTTCTTTCAATTCTTTGAGCATTAAGTTTCTCTGGGCAGTCATTCTGGAAACTTCTTCCACCGCTGTAAGATTGGCATCCCCTCTAATCACAGTAGGAGGATCCTGACCATAAAGAGCCTTGTAAGGTGTCATTTTCAGTGATGTATGATAATTTGTATTGTACCAGAATTCTGCCCAAGCTAACCAATCAACCCATTGCTTGGGTCTCTTTCCAGTAATACACCTCAAATAAGTTTCTAGGCACCTGTTGACTACTTCAGTTTGACCATCCGTTTGAGGATGATAGGCTGTGCTGTATTTAAGTTGAGTCCCAGCTAGTTTGAAGAGTTCAGACCAAAAAGTACTCAGAAATATGCTATCTCTGTCACTCACAATCGTTTTAGGGAATCCATGCAACTTGACTATCTCCTTGGTAAACAATTCAGCCACTTCTTTAGCATCAAAGGGGTGAGATAAAGCTAAGAAGTGAGCTGATTTTGTCAATCTATCCACAATGACCATGATTGTATCCTTTCCATGTGATTTTGGCAAACCTCCCATAAAATCCATGGAAATGTCAGTCCAAATATTCTGAGGAATATGCAGGGGTTGTAATAACCCGGCTGGTTTTAAAGCTTGGTATTTGTTTGTTTGACATGTAGGACACTCATCAACATACTTCTTTATGTCCTTCCTCATACCATGTCAATAAAACAAATTAGATATCCTCTTCACAGTCCTGAAATAGCCAGAATGACCCCCATTGCAGAATCATGAAACTCCTTCATGATTTTGGTAATTCTAGGAGATTTACTAGGTAAAACTAGCCTCCCCTTGTAGTATAGCAACCCTTTAATATTCTGAAAGTCCTGGTACTGATCTGGTTGTGATATGATATGCTGAAGTAATGATTGACATTTAGGATCTGTAAGCAGCTCTTCTTCTAGCCCTTCCCATTCCTGACAAGTGACTTTGGACAATGCATTTGAAGGATGGTCTTCTGGATAATGAATCTGCAGCTGTATTTTCCAATCCAGGTTTATATTTGATAGTAAAGTTATAACCCAGTAACTTGGAAGTCCATTTTTGTTGTTCTTCACCCATCAGTCTTTGTTCCGTCAAAAATCTTAAGCTCTTTTGATCTGTATGAACTTCAAAAGTTCTCCCCAACAAATAGGGTCTCCATTTTTGGACTGCCAGAACAATAGCCATTAATTCCCTCTTATAAACAGATCTGTTCTGATTCCTTTTAGACAATTCTTTGCTCATGTATGCAATAGGCCTGCCATTTTGCATCAAAACAGCCCCCAAACCTGTCCCCGAAGCATCAGTTTCTAATATGAACATCTTGTTGAAATCTGGAACTGCCAGAACTGGTAAGGTAATCATTCTTCTTTTCAATTCTTCAAAGGCCTTGATAGCATCTGCCCCCCATTGAAAACTGTTCTTCTTCAACAGCTGAGTCAAAGGTAAAGCAATCTTGCTATACCCTTGCACAAATCTTCTGTAATAACCAGCGAGTCCCAAAAATCCCCTTAGTCCCTTTAAATCCTTGGGTTCTGGCCATAGAACCATGGCTTCTATCTTGGTAGGATCTGCAGCAACTCCACTACCAGATATGATATGACCCAAATAGACCAGCTCTGATTGCCCAAAGGAACATTTTTTTGGATTTATAACTAGCTGGTTCTCCTTCAAAGCTTTTAATACCATCCTCAAGTGTTCTTGATGTTCTTCCTTTGATTTACTGTATATAAGAATGTCATCAAAGAAAACCAGTGCAAACTTTCTGAGAAATGGTCTTAAGACTTGATTCATGAGTGCTTGAAAAGTAGATGGTGCATTTGTCAGACCAAAGGGCATTACCAAATATTCGTAGTGTCCCTCATGAGTCCTAAATGCAGTTTTCTGCCTATCTTCCTCCTTCATTCTGATCTGGTGGTAACCAGATTTCAGATCCAACTTAGAAAAAATCTGAGCCCCACCCAATTCATCCAGTAATTCTTCAATGATAGGTATAGGAAATTTATCAGGTATAGTAATCTTATTTAAAGCCCTATAGTCTCCACAAAATCGCCAACCCCCATCCTTCTTCTTAGCTAGTAAAATAGGGCTGCTATAAGGGCTAGTACTATGCTGAATTATACCTTCATTGAGCATCTCCTTTATGATTCTTTCAATTTCAATCTTCTGATACTGAGGATACCTGTAGGGCCTTATGTTTGGGATTTCTGCTCCTTGTTTAATATTAATTGCATGATCACAGGTTCTTCTTGGGGGTAATTTCTTCAGAGGTGCAGAAACTTCTGGAAATTCAGCCAAGATATGCTTCCAGATTCCATCTGTTTCATCCCCTTCCTTCAATTCCACAGATTGACCCTCACAGTAAACCAAATATCCATTCCCTGTATCATGTAAGATTTGAGTCATTGTTTTCAAAGAAACCTCAAGAGAATTTAAATGTGGATCCCCTTGTATCATCTGCTTATTCCCTTGTTCCTGCCATCTTATAATCTGCTTCTGGAAATTGACCTCAACATCTCCTAAAGTGGTCAACCATTCCATTCCCAGCACCACATCAGTTCCCCCTAGCTCAAGGATGTAAAAATCCTGCTGAACTACTGCTTCCTGCACACATAACTTCAATGCTTCACACCTCCCATTATTAGCTAATTTTTCCCCATTCCCAATCTGCACTTTGTACCCTGTAATGGTGTCATAGGGAATTCCAAGCTGATTTACCATCCCCTGAGATATAAAGTTATGAGTAGCTCCACTGTCAATGAGTATCTCCACTTCCTTTTCACCCAAACTCCATTTTAAACACCCCTTCACTTTGAAAGCTCTCATGGAAAGGATCCCTTCCTTACTCATGAGTGAAAGCTGCATGGACTTGGATTCCATGACAACTTCTTCTTCTTCAGGAATTTCTCCAACTTCATCTTCAGATTCTTCCTCTTCTGCAGAATCTTCTACCAGAATGAGCTTATAGTTCTTTAGTTTACAGGTATGTTCCCTATTCCATTTATCACCACATTTGAAACAAAGCTCCTTCCTGCTTCTCTCCTGGTACTCTTCTTGTGACAGTTGAGGTCCCACTTTTCTAATTCCAGAGGGATGTATTTCAGTGATCTTCCTTCCTGCTTTATCAAACCATGACTGGTTACTCTTGTTTTCAGCCCCATTTTTACTCTGAGGTGACCAGGAATTGCCAAATCTGCTCTTGTATCCTTCACCCCAATTCTGAGTTTTCATAGGTACAAGTCCTCTCTCCTTTCCAAATAACTTGTCCTCCTCTTTTCTCTTCAAATATTTTGCCTCATTCTTCTGCTCAATTAGGATGGCTTTATCCATAATTTCAGTCAATGATCTGGAAGCAAACAATTTCAACTCAGATTTGATCTCCTGCTTCAGGCCTGTCATGAAAATTCCTCTCAGCAACTCTGTATCCATATTCTGTTGTGGTGCTATCACCATTCCAAACTCCACCCTGTATTCTCTCCTGTATTCTCTTCCACTGTTCCAGTTTGTTTCAAACTGAGTATAGGTCCGTACGGATTCTGAAGTAACTCTGGTTGAAATCTACGGATAACAGATTTCTTCAGCATCTCCCAACTTGTTTCTTCCGTCTGATTTTCCCATAAGTGAAACCAGTTCAAAGCTCTATCTTCCATTGCGACCATAGAAGCTTCCACCTTCTCCTCATCAGCAATCTGATTCAATCTAAAATATCTCTCCATGCGTATAATCCAATTATAAGCTCCCTCCCCATTAAACAAGGGTAGATCAATTTTTCTACCTGTACGCACAGGTAATCTCACATGTTCCTCAGTACGACGATGATTATTGACATTAGAGTATACTGAATTACCTCTGGAAGTCGCAGGGCTGTTCGAAGTTTGTCTATGATGACGTTGGCGAGATCGCGACCTCTTCCTCGCGCGGAATTCCTCGCTCATCGCATCCAATCTTACATTCATGTTATCCATCATCGTTCTCATGTGTAACAGTGTTTCCTCAGTCGCTATCCTGCTACGTTCCATCTCTTCCTTTAGATTTTCCATTTTGCCTCTCGTTCGCACCATTCACAATTCCGATTGAGAGAAAAAAATTTCTGGTGATGTTTCAACCAATTTCCGATTCACCAGAACTGTTGCTCTGATACCAATGATAGAACACTGGTATTTGATTCACAGAACAATACAGAATCCAATAGTAAAAGTAGAAGAACAGATAGTAAACAGTTTATTGAAGAAGAGAAAATCGTAGGTGTACAAGGTGTGGGACAGTTCGAGATGCCCAATCTCCAAGCTACCAGCCAACAACAAAATAACAGCCTGCCTTATTTAGTTCTCCCCTTACTATTTATAGCTAATTATCCACGCAGGGACAAACCGAACTAGCTATTAGTTATTTAAGTAACAATGACTACTTATTTCTCCTCTTCTACACCCTATTGAAATATTTAATAGGCTGTTGCTGCACCATATGCCTATCATGCGTGCCACTCCCTCTTGTCCCATTGTTAGCGGGACGGAGGGAGTAGCTACTAGTCTATTTAATAGTCTAATATGTTGATCCCTAACAAAACTCCCTCCCTAAACATCCATCTTGCCCTCAAGGTAGGTGGTAGGAGACAGCCAAGATCTTCTGCTTCCCCTTCATCCTTGCACCTCTCCCTTCCCAATACTTGACTGCTTGATGGACTAGGGACTTTCGTACGAGATCTTTTAAGATCACAGAACTTTCAGTAGTAAAAGAAATCTGCAGTGAAGATTCATTCAATTCAGTATCTTTCCAGCACTTGATAGCAAAAAATATTTCTTCACTTTTATGCAGCTCCTCATAGTTTCCATTCTCCGAAACTAATACTGTATTGGATGCAAACTCCTTTATGTACCTTTCAACTTCTTCCTCTTTTAATTCTTTACTGACCTCATTTGAGAAGGAAAACCTCAAAGGTTTTAGCAAGCAAGTAATGAGATGCATAATTCCAGCTGCAGTTCTCATAACTAAAGAACAGGAAAGCTCATCTCCCATGTAAAAGTTCCAAAGTTGGTTTTCTTGCAGGTAAGCCGATTCTTCACTAGAAGAAAACATTGCCATTTTCAAACCTTGTTTCAATTTCACCTGTTCATTGGCTTCAGTATATTTTTCCACCTGAATTCCCACTGTTTTATTATTGATAGAATTCGTAATTCTGAGCTCTCCGGACAAAGGACCAACCTATAAGTGAGTAGGTGAATCAAGTGTACAAGGACCTTTTCCGTTCCAAGGTATGACATCAAAGGAAGCTATCGAATCACTCTTATCTTTGCATACAACAGTCCCAAGTCTATTCACTTGCACCTGATTATTTACAATCCTTAAAATGGAATTTCTAATAGCAATATCCACATGCAGAGAGGCAAATATAAAGTCTGGAAAATTCTCCGGGCTAACTTCACTTTCATATAAACTGTTATCACCAGGTGGAATATCAAGGCAACCTCTTGCACTGTCATCTGTCATCTTTTCTTGGCGTGTCATATTTTCTAGTCCCCGATTAGAAATTATTTCTTTAATCAAAGCATCTGAAGTTTTCTGAATATTTTTTCCTTGAATTCATTTACAAGAAGTACATAAGCTATTTATACAGATAGGAATCCTGAGAGAGTCTATTCAGCACCCTAGGTGACTGCCTAAATACTAAACATAAATGATTGAGAACTGAAAAGACAGCAACTATTAAATACAACCTGAAGCACTAAAGACACATAATTACAGTAATAATAAGGAAAATAAATCCTAGATTAATGATGTCTCTTCGTTTTATCAACACTCCCCCTCAAGCTAGGTTTGTAGATATCCGTCATGCCTAGCTTGACAATAAGACCTTGGAACCTAGGACTGTGCAGAGGTTTGGTAAACACATCTGCAACTTGATCTTCTGAGGGAGTGTAGCTTAGTTCGATCAGACCTCCTTCAACCTTTTCTTTCATAAAGTGCCTATCAATCTCAATATGCTTGGTCCGATCATGTTGGACTGGATTATGAGCTATGTTGATTGCTGATTTGTTATCACACCTCAATTCCATTGGTCCTTTCCACTTGATTCGTAAATCTAAGAGAATAATTCTGATCCATAGAAGTTCACATAAGCCATGGGCAAGAGCTCTTAGCTCAGATTCAGCAGATGATCGTGCCACAACATTCTGTTTTTTTGCTTCTCCATATCACGAGGTTTCCTGCTATGAAAACACAGAGACCAGTAGTTGACCGGCGGTCAACGAGGGAGCCACCATAATCTGCATCAGTGAAGGCTTGGACTGATAATTGCCCACCCTTCCTGAATATTATCCCTTGCCCTGTACTTCCTTTTAGGTAGTGAAGAACCCTATAGGCTGCTTCTAGATGTGGTTTCCTTGGATCATGCATGAACTGACTCAAAACACTAATTGCATAGGCAATGTCAGGTTTAGTATGAGAGAGATAGATAAGTTTGCCACACAAGCGCTGATACATTGATGAATCAACCTTGGGTTCATCAGTAGCAAGTCCAAGCTTATGATTAGGATCCATAGGTGCATTAACCGGTCGACAAGCACTCTTACCAGTCTCATTTAACAAATCTGTAATGTACTTTTGTTGGCTGATAAAGATGCCTTCAGATGAGTGAGCAACTTCAATTCCAAGAAAGTATTTTAGAGGGCCAAGAGACTTCATCTCGAATTTGGATTTCAGCTGCCCCTCAAGACGTTGTTTCTCAACTGGATCATTACCCGTCACAATGATGTTATCCACATATACTAAAAGAATAGTGACTCCATTTGGGCGAGAGTGTTTGTAAAAAAGAGTATGATCCCCTTGGCTTTGACTATACCCAGCAGCAAGAACAACCTGTGTGAAGCGGTCAAACCAAGCACGAGGGGATTGCTTGAGACCATAGAGGGCTTTTTTTAAATGACATACATGTGTAGAGGTTCTTGTTGATGTTTTAGTAAAGCTTGGGGGAATGTACATGTAGATCTCATCATGCAAGTCACCGTGGAGAAAAGCATTCTTGACATCAAATTGCAATAAAGGCCAATCAAAGTGAGATGCCAAGGATAATAGGATACGGACAGTATTGAGCTTAGCTACAGGAGCAAAGGTCTCTTGATAGTCAATTCCATACGTCTGAGTGTATCCTTTAGCCACAAGACGAGCTTTGTACCGCTCAAGAGATCCATCAGCCTTGTATTTGACAGTAAAGATCCACTTGCAACCAACAACATGCCTCCCAGGAGGTTTAGTCACAATATCCCAAGTATGGTTCTTTTCAAGAGCTCTAATTTCCTCTTGCATAACATCCCTCCATTCTTTCTTTCCTAATGCCTCAGAAACAGAGTTGGGTATGGGAATTTCATTAAGTCTCTGAACAAACAAGGCATGTGAAGGAGAGAAGTTATCAATGGTAACAAAATTAGCAAGAGGGTATAGAGGTGTTTTGGTACATTGACGTACACCCTTGCGTAAAGCAATTGGCGGAGATGGTGGTGGAGAAGAAGAGACATTACCTGGGTCAGCCAATTGGTCATGCGTCAACAATGGAGTAAACCTGTTTTTCCTTGAGTACACTTTTGTCACTGGTAGAGGAGAAGATGGGTCATGAGTGGTGGATTTAGTAGGTGTAGGAATGGGATGGTCTGGTGGTGTATTTGATTGAGGTTCAGGTGATGTTGAAGATTGTTGGGAAGTAGGTGAGGTTGCTAACACATCTAAGGAAGGTGATGGATGATCATGTGGTGGTGGTGGTGGTGATGGGATGTCTGGTGATAAAGGCTTAGGAGGGTAGGAGATTGTATGTGGTGGAGAAGATGTAATAGTATAGGTGGGCAGAGGTGAAGGATGTGGAGTCTCTTGGGATTACAGGGAGAGAAGTAGGAGTGTAAAAAGGTGTGTCTTCGTGAAAGGTCACATCTGCACTGGTGTATGTCTTTCTGGTTGTAGGATTATAGCACTTATATCCTTTCTGAGTTGGAGAATAACCAAGAAAGATACACTTAATAGATCGTGGGTCCAATTTTCCCCTATGAGGTGGAGGAATATGAACAAATGCAGTACACCCAAACACCCTTAGATCAAGATCAGAAGAAATTCTGGTTTGAGGAAAGAAGTGACGGAGAGATTCAAGGGGTGACTTATTTTGGAGTACCCGACTGGGAATTTTATTGATGAGATGACATGCTGTGAGTGTGGCTTCCCCCCAATAGTGTTTAGGCATATTTGATTGAAACAATAAAGCCCGACTGACGTCTAGGAGATGACGATTTTTTCTTTCTGCTGTGCCATTCTGTTGTGGTGTGTACGAACAAGAGGACTCATGAACAATGCCTTTTGAGAGGAAATAAGAGGAAACAGTTTGATTGAAGTATTCAAGAGCATTATCAGTGCGGAAGCATTTTATTGTGGCGGAGAACTGATTATGAATCATATTGCAAAAGATAGGAATGATGGAACTCACCTCACTCTTGTTTTTTAGCAGAAAAACCCACATAAAACGTGTACAATCATTAATAAATGTAACATACCACCGAGCACCAGATATATTAACAATTGGAGCAGGACCCCAGACATCACTATGTATAATATCAAAAGGAGAACAACTGATTGTATTACTTCTAGAAAAAGATACACGAGACTGTTTAGCAAGTTCACAGACATCACATTGAAATGTAGAAACATCAATACTACTAAAAAGACTAGGAAACATGGTTTTTAGGACATGAAAAGAGGGATGACCAAGACGCTTGTGGTGAAGCCAAATAGTGTTGGTATTGGCTCTGATTGTGGTAAGAGCTTTTTGTGGAGGTTTGGAGACAAACAGTGCATCAAGGTAGTACAGGCCATCTCTTTGTTTAGCAATTCCAATCGTCCTCCCCGTGTGTAGATCCTGTAATAAACAGTGGGAAGGGAAAAAAATGGCAGCACAATTAAGATCAACTGTGAGTTTATAAATAGAAGCAAGGTTCATAGCCAGGTTCGGGACATGTAGGGTGTTTTTCAGATTTAATTTTTCAGAAAAAACAACCGTACCAAGTCTCGCAACCTTTGTAGGTGTCCCATCAGCAGTAGTAATGTGTGTGGATGTAAAACATGGATGATAATTAGAGAGTAAAGAGGGTATGGCAGTCATATGAAATGTGGCACCTGAGTCTAATATCCATTGGGATTGTGAACTCTGTTCCGAAGCATTAAGACAAAAAATAGTAGAGGTTTTACCTTGCAGGGCCAAAGAGCTATGACCAGAACCATTTGAGTTATTAAGAGACTGTAACATCATACGAATTTGCTTTAATTCCTCCTGGGAAATGGGCCAAAGATTAGTAGAGCTCTCAACAATAGTGGGAGTGACTGAGTTGGCACGTCCAGCACTAGTTCCACGTCTGTCTTGGCTTTTTCTTTCTTTCTGTAGATGAGGATAAAGTTTCCAGCATGTATCCACATTATGGTTGGACCGCTTGCAATGATCACACCATCTTCCTCCCTTACTACCCTTAGTTTCCTTAACATCTGAAGGAGTAGATTTGGCAGCAAGAGCTGTACTGTCAATCAGATTTGTATTCATCATGATATTGCGTCTGCTCTCTTCATGTTTGATAGTGGCAATGGCAGAAGATATGGAAGGCAGAGGAGTAATGCCAAGAATTTGACCCCGAGTCTGATCATATTCGGGATTTAAACCAGACAAGAAGCAATATAGACTTTGCTGATTTATATAGTTCTTGTGAAGAGCTGCATCTACAGCATTCGACCACTTCATCGTTTGATACTGGTCAAGTTCAGACCATCGTCGTTGGAGGTCAGTTGCATAATCTGTGACAGATTGTGAATCTTGCTTAAGATTCGTTGTTTTGAGCCATAAGTCATAGACAAAAGTGCCATCTTTAGCAACAGAGTAGGACTGCTGTATGAAATCCCAGATTTCTTTAGCCGAGTCCATGTATAAACATGTACTGCTAATGTTGGGATCCATAGAGTCCCATAACCAGACCCGTATGTTGGCATTAGTTTTCTCCCAAATAGCAGCATCAATCTCTCCTTCTTCTGGGGTAGAGACAGTGAGATAGTCTTCAAGATCTTTGCCACGTAGAAGAGTGTAAACCAGCTTTGACCACCGAAGATAGTTCCTGCCATTGAGACGGTAAGATGGCGGGATAGAAGGGAGATCAAATTTCTGGTTTCGAAGAGCAAACGCGGCTGCAGTAGCAGCTGAAACAATGGTTGAGTGATCAAGGTTACTTGAGGCTGATTCGGCTTCTTTAGACGTGATAAAACCCTTGATGAAGAGACTCCACTGGGAGTTAAAGAGAGAGAAGGGTAGAGACACCCAAAAAATGACCGTTGGAGAGGTGATAGACTCAAAAAAGGCTTAGATGAAACCAAGCTTTGATACCATGAAGTTTTCTGAATATTTTTTCCTTGAATTCATTTACAAGAAGTACATAAGCTATTTATACAGATAGGAATCCTGAGAGAGTCTATTCAGCACCCTAGGTGACTGTCTAAATACTAAACATAAATGATTGAGAACTGAAAAGACAGCCGCTATTAAATACAACCTGAAGCACTAAAGACACATAATTACAGTAATAATAAGGAAAATAAATCCTAGATTAATGATGTCTCTTCGTTTTATCAACAACATCTTTTGGAGATGAATTGGAATATGAATCTATATTTTCCATACCTTCCGGATCTTCTTGTGGATATCTCATAGTTTGCATAATACCATAACTCGTATCTAATTCCATATCTGAAGAGGTAGCTAGCTTCAACTCAGTGTTCTTTATCAATGATGAAGTGCCCTGTAATCCTTTTCTTGAATCGACAAATTTTATGGCTTCTGAAATAGATGACACCTGTGAACACCTTAGGAGTCCAGCAACTGTGCCCACTTCCGTTCCTATTACAGTATATTGCTCCTTTTCCTCTTCCGGCATTTTCTTGATTACTGCTTCAGTTGGCTCCATCACGGTCTTCTTTATTGATTGGGGGAAATCTTTCGCAAGTTGATAAACTTGCAAAGTCAACAAATCTGACATGGAAGAAACTGGTGACTTCGATCTGTGATCTTCTACTTTCGACACAGTTTGCGAATAGGAAAGAGCTGATGGCGACTGCAACGAACTCTTGCTTTTGGAATTCCGGCAGCGACGCACAATCCTCGATCTTCCTCGCCAACGAGGTTGTGGCAGCAGCATGGTGCGCAACTCCTCCAATCCGGTCCTCCTTTCCTTCGCCTCATCCCTTTCTACCTTTTCTTTGCTCTTCGTATACTTCTCCTTCGCTATTATTCCGCGCTCCACCTTCGCCGCGATCTTCCCCATTTTTCCGCGCGAAGCCTTTCGTGAGTGCGAAACAGAAGAAACAGTTCGCGATTCTTTCTGCGAACAGGTGAGCGACGAACTCTGTTTGTCAGATTGCCGATGATGCCCTGTGTTCTTCGATCGGTGGAAGCGCTGTGTTGGGCGCTCACATTCACGCAAGAAACTTTCCAACCTAGCGTTCGTCTCCTCCATCTGTCGATTCAGATTGTCCATTCTTTTTGCCATTTGCGGTGTCATGTAGAAATCCTCCATGATTCCGATTCTCCGTCTCCAGGAAGTAACGTGATCTGATACCAATGTTAGAACTCTGCAAATTCTACAATTACTTCACAGAAATTATCACAAGAACTCAAATGCACAAACTTTTATTCACAAGGCAACAATGGCCGAAGCCCCCAAAAGATAATGGCCGAAGCCCCCAAAAGATAGAGATACAACTCTGATCTTCCCAAAAATGACTAATAGTCAAAAACAGCCCTCCCTATCCTCTCCCAGCCTTATTCTTTTTATAGTAGTCCAGCTCAACCGGCTCTAGTTATTAGCTACTACATAATTTTAACTAATAGCTACTAGTCTATTTAATAGTCTAATATGTCGATCCCTAATATACAACTAGGGTTTCAACAATCAATAAACAGAACATACCACCTTGAACCAGTGAGATTTTTAACTTTGGATGGGCCCCAAACATCACTGTGAATGAGATAAAATGGTTTGGATGGTTTGTAGGGTAGGCTGGGATAGTGGTTTCTAGTATGTTTAGCAAGTTGACAAATTTCACAATCAAAAGCAGAACTTTTTATTAATGAACAATGAAGGAATAGTTTTTCTAAGTACAAGACATTAAGATGATCAAGGTGATAAAGCCACAACTGAATTTGATTATCAAATTGACTCCTACTAAGACTCTTACTAAGACTTCCTAAGAATTTATGGTTTAATTGACTCTCACTGGAAGTTGTTTTGTTGGTAGAGTTTGGTGAATGTGGTGAATGTTCTAGAAGATAGAGTCCACCACTTTGCTTAGCACTGACAATCATCCTCTGTGAATCCAAATCTTGAAATTCACATAATTGGGAAGAGAATTTAGTTAGGCAATGTGCATCATTGTTCAGTTTACTAACTGATAAGATGTTAAACTTTAAACCTGGAACATATAACACATTGTTAAGCACTATCTTATCAGAAATCTTCACTTTGTCAGTCCCTTTTATTGCTGAAGTAGTTCCATCAGCTATCTTCACAGTTACCTTATTCTTCATAAGGATTAATTCAGCAAAAAACTTACTGTCTCCAGTCATGTGATCTGATGCCCCTGAATCAACAATCCAATAGGGCTGACTTTTTGCAACTAGGATTGTTAAGACATTACCTGTCTGAACAGTCAAGCTAGTTTGTGGTGTAGGCTCTTTGCTCTGACTTATTAGGTGTTGAAGGACACCTCAATCTGCTCATTGGTCAATGCAGCAAGATTAGATGTGCCCTTTTCTTCCTTATATGCAGTAGTTACATAGGCTCCTTCCCTGTGCTTGATTTGAAATCTTTAGGTTTACCATGCAAAAATTCCAGCATGTTTCTTTGGTATGGCCTAGTTTCTTACAGTGATCACACCATGGCCCCCATCTTTTTCTTGTTTTCATTCCTGTGGAAGAGGTATACAATGTTAACCCTTCAATGCTTTGCTGTTGGTCTTGATATTTCCCATCATTACCTTCTTCCTTCTCTCTTCTCTTCTGACTTTTGAGAATGCTTTTCTAAGTGTGAGAAGAGGTTTCTTTCTCATTATACTGCCCCTAACCTCATCTAGACTTTTGTCCAAGCCTAGTAGGAATTTGAAGACTCTCTTCCTCTCACAGATCTCTTGATATAGCTTCTTATCCTTAGAACATGACCAACTGTATGTCTCAAACACATCAAGATGTTGCCAGAGTCTCACAAGGTTGTTGAAGTATTGAGTTACATTCAATTCTCCCTGTTGGAGGTTAGGTAGCATTAATTCAACCTCAAATAATTCAGAAGTATCATCTGAGGGTGAGTAGGTTTCTATCACAACCTCCCAAATCTCTTGAGCTGTTTTGTATAGTAGGAAATCCCCCCCCCCCCCCCCCCCCCTATACCGGTTGTCATGGAATTGATGAGCCATGACATCACAGTATAGTTCTCTTTCTTCCACTTCTTGTAGCCTGGATCTCCTTGATTCGGAGCAGGTGCATCACCTGTCAAATAGTCCTTGTCTTTTCCACACACATATATCATTACTGACTGGGACCATTGTAGATAATTAGTGCCATTGAGTTTATGGCAAGTAATAATCGAATATGGTTGATTAGGAGTGGGGACTGTGCTTCCATTGACATTCTGGTTGCTGCCATCTCCAGTTGGACAGCCTCTGAATGTTCAGAGGTGACTGAGATAGATCCATCTCTCTCGGTGGTCATCCCATATGATCTGAACTTAATTATGTTAGTGAATAACCTTCTATGATTCCATGTAGGAAGAACTAGATAAAGCAATCTTAATTTAGTTTATTCGTACTGTCTAATACAAGGAGAAGATTACAAGGAATCCTCCTAATTAAGATTCTTTAAGAATAAGAGATATTTAGAGATTCTGAGATTTCTAAGATATCTCCTCATAAATACACAATCGGGTGAATATTTAGAATAATCTACAACTCCCAAACACCCTAACAGAGATCCAGTATGCGAGGTGACCTGAGACTATATTAGAGTAAAATCGAGAGGGAATCTTGATGCATCTTGTCTTGTTGTCTTTATCCTACATGACATTTGACACTACTCTTTAAGAAAAAGGGAAAATGACTTTAAACAATACCGTCTGTTCGCCATAAACTAAAAAATTCCAATCTATGAAAATATAAGTTGATGGCCAAATAATTTGAATATGTACAGAAAACCATATGAGCATGTTTTTCGGTAAGAAATTAAGCTAATGTGCTCACACAAACAGTCCATAGATGAAAAACTAACCTAACTTTGAAATTCAGCTATCCCGGTCATGTCAGCACTTCCAGGTTTCTTGCCTGAAAATATGGTTCTACTATTTTGCGTATACACTGAAATAGTTTCACTATTGATTTGAGATTTCTAAAGTGAGATTATTTTAGTTGTCATTGTTCTTGTTAACTCCTCCTGTTTAATGGTTGTGCAGTACAGGCACCACACATCCTGATAACTGGCCTTGAAGACTACAAGGCAAGAGGAACACAAGCATCTCCATACTTCACTATTTCTTACTACACAGAATTCGCAGAAAGCAAGGATCTAGTGCTTGTCCGGGGGGATGTCGTCTTCACCAGCAAACTCAGTGACTCCGAAGCCAAATGGCTCTTGGAGACAGCACACTCCTTTTATATGAACGATACGAGGTACAAACTTGTTGAGACCTTTAACAAAGAAACAAGGAAGTTTGTGTTTGAGGATGTTTTACGTGTGTTGGGAATGCCAATTTTGTAGTTGAAGCAAGTGTTAACCTCTCCCATTATCATAAGCTGAGTTTGGGCTTCAAGAGCATTGGATCTTTTTGTGTATTCACAGTTTTTCATCGGAGAAATTTTTGAAATACCTTGCAGGCTGGGGGTGTATTACCTGGAGCTTATTTCAAAATTAATGTGAACTCGTGTTTTAGTTATTAGAGAGTAACTTGTTTGGGTAATGCTGACGAAGGGAGCACTGTATTGTCTATTGTCTAATATTGTTTGGCATGAGTAGTGAGGTAAATGTGCCGGATTGGATATTAATGAGCTTGAGTTCCGCTTGTGATTTCTTTTCTGTACCACTCAAGTTCGATCCAAATATTTGTATTTCAGTTCACATAAAAAGTACCAAACACATACTTAATATATTAATTTATCCTTTTTTTAAACCCGGTGTTAGACCAAAAACCAGGAAGTTTTTTTGGGGTAGGGGCCACAGAATAGTTTATCCTTGTAGTCTTACTTGATTACTTCAAGAATAAGTTGATCCTAGTTCATGAATATTTAGTGTAGAATGCTACTGCGCATTGAGTTGTGATGTTGTATGCATAAAAGTTCGCAGTTTACAACACAAAAGTGCAAGTGCAGTAGTGCAGGACGGTAAGGTGCCTTATGATCGCTTAAATGATCCTATTATAAGTACGGCTCGGTTACGGTTTGGAGAATTTGAGAAACCGTTTTTTCGGTTCGGTTTTAATGTTTTCTATTTTGGTTCGGTTCGGTTCCTGAACCGAATCCACCCCTAGTATTAATTGAGATCATTAAGTATTTAAGTGATACTCTTTTCTTGAATTACAAAAAACGATTACAATGTCAAGCACAGTGGTAGAGTATGCGAAAGAATCCAAAACCGGTCTCATAGCCACTGCCCAATTCCTTGAGAGGGTCCCTAGTAGGTATCAACATTGAAGACTCCATTAATAATGTAAGTGATTTTGTTATTTAAAATAATAATAATAAAGGAATGAGTTTTTTCCTAGAATAATGCTAATTAAATAAATAATTCTCAAAATACTATTGGGTTAAAATTAATTCCCCAAATACTGTTGGATTAACCGTGGTTAAGAAAAGCTGCCACTTGAAGTGGCGGCTCTTCTCTTACAGTACAAAAGTTGCCACTCCAAGTGGTGGCTCTTCACTTACAACACATTTTGTACATATATAAAGCGGTAGTATGTTTCTAGAATTTGTTTAGCTGCGTTCCGGTTGAATTTTAAGCTGAAATTTGGTATGCATAAACTTGACTTCATGAGGAACATGCTCAAAAACATTCATCAAACATTTCCACCGGGAAGACCCTTTGATGGTATTGTCCGCACGGGGTAGGGGTGGGTTGGGCCGAGCCAAACCGGCCCGTGAACCGGACCGGCGCACTACTGTGCGGGCCCGGACCGGACCGGCGCACTACTGTGCGGGCCCGGACCGGACCGGGACCGGATGGCCGGTTCTGGGCTTTACCCCGGGTTGGGCGAGCCTGGCGGGCCGAGTTCAGGCCCTGTTTTTCTTGAACCGACCCGAGCGGTCCAGGTCGAGCTTGGGTCATTTTTTTTTTTGTTTTCAATTTTTTTCTTTTCCTAGGGTAGGGTTGGGTAGGGATGGATTCGGGCCGGGTCGGGCCCGGGTCGGGCCCGGGTCGGGCCCGGGTCGGGCCCGGTCGGGCCGCCGGTTCTAGAATAGTGGGCCCGGGACCGGCTCGAGGGTTGGACGGGTCCGGTTCGGGCCGGGCCACCTGCCTGGGTCACGGGTCGGGCCCCCCCACCCCCCCCACCCCCACCACCCAACCCCCCCGGACCCCCCCCCCTTTACCCCACCCAACGGCTATATAGCCGTTTGGGTTGTCCCCAACCCCACCCCCAACGGCTAGTAGGAGCCCAAACCAAAAAAATAAATAAATAAATTGAACCGGACCCGGGCCGGGTCACAAAAATGCTGAACCGAGCCCGCCCCGCCCCTTCCCCCCGGTTCGGGCCCATACCCGGTCCCGGACCGCCCGACTGGGCCGGTCCCGGGCCCGCACAGTACCGGGCCAGGTCACGGGCCGGGTGGCCCGAACCGAATCCATCCCTAGGGCTGGGTGTTTTGGGGAGGTTTGAGGGGTGGGGTGAGGGGTTAATTAGAAAGCAAAAAAAAAACATTGGACCGGACCGGTTTGGCCCGTACCCGGTGCCACATATGCATCTATGTCACACTCATCTTTTGAATGTGACATTCTTTCACCGCCAACACTCTACATCACACATTGTTGTCCGATAAAATTTACTCTTCAGTCCATTCGGCATACCGTGATCATATAAAAATCATGATGCACTCTTTCATTTTATTCACCTGCTCGGATTCTATGGGATACACCTCTATTTAATTCACCATTCTTCTTAATTATGGAATGAGTATGTGGTAACAATAACGCCATTTGACTCCTAAAGTCTTTCAATTATTTTAAGAAACTTCTTGTTTCATTTCAAGAAAGAATTTTTCTTAATTATATAGTTTCAGGTTTTTGCAAACAAACTTCTTATTTCATTTAATGAAACATATATGTTTAGTGAATCATACTGTTTCACTTTTCTGATAAATTGTAACGATGTAATTTTTATTTTATTAGTCCGTCTACTAATCGAACTTGAGAAAAACTATGTGATAGAGGAAGTACATGTCATATATCGACTCCAATGCATGTAGTCTTATGATGAGGTGGCAAAATAAGTTAAACACTGTACAAAACACCGTCCGGGTGTGGAAAGCCCGATTCACTTGCTGAGTTGTGCATATTGCACAGAAAAACTCTTCTTCTTCTTCGATTAAAATGTCAAAACCAGATCTGGCATAGTTTGTTGTGCTACTTCTTCCATCAGCAGCAGCACTGTCCCGTTGGAATTTCGACTAGCTTCCACAGCCGAAGGCCCACTGGTCGACCTCCTACCTCCCATCACAAAAAATATTGCAGTAGAAATAGCAACCAGATCAAAGTAAAAAACAAATAATTATAGAGGGTGAAAATTTCTACGACCAGCGTTTAAAAGTCTATGAACTTTTTGAAAGTCAATAAACTTATCCATGGATTTAAAAGTCCATAGAATTCATTCATAAAAAGTCTATGGATTTAAAGGCCCTTTGACTTTTTTAAAAATCCATGGATTAAAAAAAGTCCACCACAATCGATATTCAATACACCACCCTTAGCATAATTTATTTAGACTAGAAAGGAGTGCTCTTATATGCACACAAAAAAGTTAAATAAAAATTGTTGAGGTTTATTCCTCGCGGTCTAAGGGCTCAACACATTTCATTGGGCTTTCGTTTGGATTTCAATGGATCGTTTATGTTTTAGTGAGCTATTTAGGCGATTATGAAGGTAAAACAATAGCAAGAAAGAGTAAGGATGTTTTAACTTGGACCGTTTTCAGTTCTAGATCAGACTAGACTTAAACAAATCACATCAGACTAGACTAAACTTAAACAGACAAGACTTAAACAGACCAGACCAGGCTTGACTTTTGTAGTTATAAAATACACAGAGACCAGACGTTTACCAGACCAGACCAGACTTAAACAAAACAGACTAGTACATTACAGTCCAAGTAAAAACATCCTAAAAGGTAAAGTGAGCCAAGTTCTATAAATGACTTAGAATAATTACAGCACACACTTATCGAGCTCGAGCCCGACCCATTATTTTAAGCCGATAGGTTACAGAAGAACTAGAGAGAGAAGTTAATGCTATTGAATACAAGTTTTCAATGCCTTTCAATGAAATAAATGTTACTCTCTCCATCCCACTTAAATGTTCCCACACGATTTACGATGTTTGGTTGACCATAAAGTTAACTGATCTCTCTCATTAATAAAATTATTTTTAGTAAATAAAATATACATATTCAGAAACTACATTAAAAGTTTTATAATACCTAATCAAGAAAAATTAAATTTGATAAAAGTTGGATATATAATGTGACACCGCACCCGAATGTACTTGAATTTAAAATGTCGTATGTATTTGAATTTTCACGCAAAGTGGTGGGGGGCGATCGTCCCCACAATCTTGTCTCGTGTGTACTGCTTGCTCCCAAGGCCAAGGTTTCGTACGTATGTCTTGCAATTTGGCCTTGCTGGCCTGTTGGGGACGTACGTCCCCTGAAGTAGGGGGTGTTGGTCCTGTTTAAGAAAGGAACAGTCTAGAGGTGGGGGGTGAATAGACTGCTCTGTTAGTACCCAATTTTGATAGATTTTGATGATGCCACTATACTTTGCACATGTACATCGTGTCTTATTTAATTCAAGTATTAGTGTTTAAATTTTGATCATGAGTGACAAATAAATGTACAATTTTTTAGACTAATAAAATTATACTGGAAATTTTAAAATGCAATAAGGTAATTTTTATTTACCTTAATAGGATGTTTAAATCCTACCAGTATAGTTTTATTTGTACACAAAAATTAAACTGTCACTAAAAGAAAATCACAAAAGGTTCGAAAATCATATACATTGAATGTATATGATTGAAGACAAAAGTTGACTTGTATTAAATACTAAAATAGTAGTGGGGTCCGGAGCATTGAAGCGCACACATGGGACTGCCTTTGAAGGGATACTTCAGCGGCTGAATTATTGAAGACAAGTGATCTCCAAATCTGCTCCGAGTCATGAAGACAAAAGAACATTTCAACGCCCAAGATCAACTTATCCTAACCAACGGATAAGATTGATCAACCTGAAAAGTCTATAAATATAGGCTGAAACGAAAGTTTCTAACCAAGAATTTGAGCATCCTAAGTAGAGAAAACCTTTCATTGAGCATGTACGAGCTATCTAGCAAAAGAGAAAGTGCGAACTCAACTTTACTCTCTGCCTGGACTCATGCTTCACTAAACTTCTTAGTCGCAAGTATTCATTGCTAAATCTTAGAAGTTTAGTTTCTAGTTGGAGGTTAGAACTTTCTTGTAAACAAATCACAAAACATTGTTGTATACACTTAGAAGGATTGTGTTATCAAGTCCTAAGTGTGGTTAGATAGACATAGTACCCTTTGATCCCCACTGGATTAATTGAGAAAAATCTAAAGGATTGAGTAACTTGGAGTGGTGTTATACTCCTTGTGAAACAGCTTCAATCTAGGCCTAAATGTTGTAAAGGCTAGATTGGCACTAAGTGTATTGGGCTTAATACTTTAGTGAAAATCCATCTGAAAGAGGGTGGGACTGGACGTAGGAGGATTACACCACCTCTGAACCAGGATATATTGTGTGTTGATTTACTTTTATTCAACAAAGCACACACCCATCACTTCTCACAAAAAGATTGGAGTTTGCCAGCAACATCCTAAGCAGTAGTCTTAACTGACCCTACTGCTCATCCTACTGCTTAATCACTCACTTTCTTTGAGACAGTT